GTTAAACAAGAAACATAATTAATAACAACAATAATAATAATAATAATAATAATAATAATAATAATAATAATAATAATAATAATAATAATATTACTATTATTATTAAAAGAGAGTCTCCTTTGTCTCCTCTTCGTTTTGCTGTCTCCTTTTGTCTCTCTTTCGTCATTTGCTGCTCCTTCTGTTTGTTTATTTCTTCTTTTCTTCCGTTTTCAACAATTGTATATACCTTGTCTCTCTGTCTCTCTCTGTCTCTCTGTCTCTCTCTGTCTATCTCTCTCTCTCTCTCACTGTCTATCTTTATTTCTCTCTATATGTTTGTCTCTCTGTCTCTCTGTCTCTGCCTCTCTCTCTCTCTCTCTATATATATATATATGTATATATATATATATATCTTTGTCTCTCTGTCTCCTTCTTTGTCTCTTTTGTTTGTCTCTGCCTTCCCTGCCTGCACATCTTTGTTATTTTTTTGTTTTTGTTTGTCCATCTCTCCCTCTCAAGCACAAAAAATAATAATAAATATGCAGTTGTCTCTCTGTCTCTGTTGCTGTTGTTGTTGTCTGCCTCTCTGTCTCTTCTTCTTCTTCTGTCTCCTCTCTCTGTCTCTTTTTATTATCTTTCTGCTGTCTGTCTCCTTCTGTCTCTTCTTCTTTTGTCTCTGCTGCATGCAGCTCTGTGCACTGCCTTATTTGCAGGGAGCCGCCACCCCTAAATCCTAAACCCTAAACCCTAAACCCTAGCCATTAATGAGGAGACACCCAATTGACTCTGTCTCTTCATATTCGCACAGCCTCTTGCAGCAGTTGAGGTGTACAGACACCAGCGAGTAGAGTAGTTGGGTGTAGGAGGCCTAAACATGCAGCAAAGAAATTAAAGAAGATAAAACAAAAAGGAGACAGCTAATGCACAGAAGAGACACAAGATAGAGATAGACAGACGCAGCAAACTGCAACGAGAAGCAGACAATACTAAGACAGAAAGAAAACAGCAGCAGCAGCAGCAGCAACGACAGCAGCAGCAGCAACAGCAGCAGCAGCAGAACAGAGACAAGAATTCATCGTCAAGTGTACGAAGGAGAATCTCTTCTGTTGCAGGACCCTCAAAACAAAACAAACAATTTGCAGCTGCCTCAGCAGCAATTGCTGCAGCTGGGGCTGATGCTGCTGAGCTGCCTAACTTGCTGCTCCTGCTACAGTAGCAACGAAAGCAGCAGCAGCTCGATTTGCCGCTGTTACTAAGGTAAGAGCTGCTGCTCCTGCTGCAGCACCTAGAAAGAGCGTTGCTGCTGCTGTTGGTGCTGCTGCACCTCACATACAGATAAAGAAGATACTGCTGCTGCAGGCTGCAGCAGCAGCAGCAGCAGCAGCTTACAAGAAGTCCTCCTCCTCTACCTCTGGGATTAGCAGCTCCGATGTGCGACCTGCTGCAGCAAGAGAGTCTCCAAAGCGAGGCAAAGCACCTTGCTGTCGTTTGTCTGCTGCTGCTGCTGCTGCTGCTATTTGCGGCGGCTGCTGCTGCTGCCCAGGGCGCCCAGGGGTGTGCATGCCAGCAGCAACAGCAGCAGCAGCAGCGGTAGCAGCCGAAGCAGCAGCAGCAGCAGCACGATGACGCTGCACCTCCTCCGCAGTTCGCTGCTGCTGCAGCTGGTGCTGCTGCAGCGCGTGTACACTGGCGCTTGAGCCCCTCAACAAGTGCTGCTGCAGCTGGTGTAGCTGCTCCTGCTGCTGCTGCTGCTGCTGCAGCAGCTGCTCCTGCGTCTGAGTACCGCCTTGCTGTCCAAACAGCGGCTCATGATAAGGAGCAGCAACTCCGTGCTGCTGCATGTACATCTCTTGCTGCTGCTGCAGCAGCGCAGCGCGCTTCTTGTCTTCTGCTTCCAGCACGATTGCAGCAACAGCAGCAGCAGCAGCAGCTTTCTTTCTATTTCTATTTTTTGTCGCGACACCCCCTCCTCGTCTTCTGTTGTCAGCAGCCTGAGATCCTCCTGAAGCTGCCCCAGGCGTTGCCTGTGAAGCTCCTGCTGCTGCTGCTGCTGCTGAGGGTCCTCCGGCTGATGCGGATGCTCCTGCTGCAGCACTTCCTGCAACAGCAGCATCGTGGCCTCGGCTCGAACCGTCTGCAGCTGCTTGAGCAGCCGCTGCAGCAGCAAGATTTGCTGCTGTTGCTGTGGGTGCAAGCGAACCCCCAGCAGCAGCAGCAGCACCAGCAGCACCGGTTGCTGCAGTGTTTGCTGCGTGAGCCATCATGTGCTGCCTGTTCACCGCTGCAGTAGCAGCGTTGTGCTGCTGCTGCATGTGTTGGTGCTGCTGCTGGTACTGGCCGTGCTGCTGCTGCTGCTGCTGCTGCTGCTGTTGTTGTTGCTGCTGCTGCTGCTGCATCAACGAAGATGCAGGTGCAGCAGCCAGACGCACAGCAGCAGGAGGAAGCCGCGGGGGCTCCGCTTGCAAGTCGAAGTGCAGCAGCTCCAAGAACTGCAGCAGACGGTTCCTGCAGCAGCAGCAACAGCAACAGCAACACCAGTAGCTGCAGCAGCAGTGCTTTGCAAACCTCCACACCTGCGGCTATGGCACAGGCGGCTGCCTCGTGCTGCTGCTGCTGCTGCTGCATGCAGCAGCGGCCGGGGGACAGCAACCAGGACAGCGACTACACAACTGAAAGCAGCAGCAGCAGCTGCTGCTGCTGCAGCAATAACAGCAGCAGCAGCAGCAGCAGCAGCAGCAGCAGCAGCAATCACAACAACGAAACGACGGACCTGAAGGAGAGAGGAACGAGGCACTCCGTTGCAGAGAGCTGCAGCAAAGCCCTCAAATCTAAAGCAGTCAGCCGCAGCAGCAGCAGCCGCTGGCTGTGAGCGACCTGCAGCAACAACAGCAGCAGCAGCACAGCACGAGACCCCGCGATAGGAAATCCCACCATAGCTACTGCAGTTGCTGCTGCTGCTGCTGCTGCCGAGCGCTGCTGCTACACCGCCTAACACGACAGCACAAGCAGCAGCGGCAGCAGCAGCAACTGCAACAGCTGCAGGAACTACAGCAGCAGCAACTGCAACAGCAGCATCGACAGCAGCACAAGCAGCAGCAAGATACCTCTGCAAACTCCTGAGCCTTCTCAAGCGCAACTTCTTCTGGTCGTTGCTGCCGCTGCTGCTGCTGCTCTTCAGGGAGTCCTGCTGCTGCCCTGCTGCTGCTGGCAGCAGCAGAATCTGCTGATGCTGTAGCAGCTGCTGCAGAAGATCCCACAACGCTAGCAGCAGCGTCCCCCTGCAGCAGCAAAACAAATGCAACCAACGTACAGTGAGCAGCAGCTAATTAAAAAATCAAGAGACAGTGCAGCAGCTAGGACCTGCTGCTGCTGTATGTGCCGCTGCTGCCTACCAAACTGCACCAGTAGCAGCAGCGACAGCAACAGAGGTGCAGCAGGAAGAAGAGCAGCAGGACCAGAGGCAGAAGCACCAGCAGCAGGGCTAGAAGCAGCAGCAGTGCTAGAAGCAGCAGCAGCAGGAGCAAGAGCAGCAGTAGCAGCAGGAGTAGAAGCAGCAGCAGCAACAGGAAGAGCAGCAGCAGCAACAGCAGCAGCAGCAGCACCTCCTCTGCCTTTGATGTCTGTGGGCCCCCCATTGCCCCTCGCGCCTTAAGGCGATGCTTCACGCGGCGGCGGCCCTCATTAAGGCGGTGGAGTCTCTCAGCCTGCAGCAGCAGCAGCAGCAGCAGCAACAGCAGCAGCAGCAGCAAGACAAGGCAAGCAAGAATGACAAACAAAGACTTGAGGAACAAACGCAAGATCAGTAGCACCACCCTAAACATACCCAGCAGCAGCAGCAGCAGCAAATCCAGCAGCAGCACCAACTGCAGCAGCAGCAACTCCAGCAGCAGCACCAACTGCAGCAGCAGCAGCAAACGCTCACCACCTGCTGGTCGTTCTCCCTCCTCAAAAATAATTCACCTAATACTGAAAAACTCAGCTGCGGCTTCAGCCCCAGCACATGCTGCTGCTGCTTCTTCTGTGCAGTCGATGCCCCTGCTGCTGCTGCTGCTGCTGCTGCATCCCCCCAGTCTCCACTAACGGCAGTGCCTCCCAGGCCTTCTGCGTCTGCTGCTTCGCTGCTGCTACTGCTCATTAAGCGAGAGAACATCCTATCAACCCGGTATTGTGATATCGCCTCAAGACAAGGAGCCAACAACCTGCAGCAGCAGCAGCAGCAGCAGCAACAGCAACAGCAGCAAGAAGCAAATGAGCATCAGCAGCATGAAGCCAGCAGCATCAACAGCAGCAGCATCAACATCAGCAGCAGCAAGAAGCAATCAGCAGCAGTGGAAGCAACGACAGCGGCAGCAGCAGCAACAGCAGTAGCAACAGCAGCAGCAACAGCAGTAGCAACAGCAGCAGCAGCAGCAGCAGCAGGACGCACGTGAGTCTGAGCTGCATTGCACTAAGCAGCCTATCCACTATTGCTGCTTCATCAGCAGCAACAAGAGACACCCCATGCCGTGTGGTGGCTTGTCGAAGTATTTGCTGCAGTCGCCGCTGCAGGTAGAGCCGCAAGACATTCTGCTGCTGCTCCTCTTCCTCCTGAACGAGCTGCAGCAGCTGCTGCTGTTGCTGCTGCTGCTGCTGCTGCTGAGCCAAAGAAGCGGAAACAGGCCTCATAATGTGCTGCTGCTGCAGCTCTTGCTGCAGCAGCTGACGGACTTGCTGCTCATGCAGCACCACCTGGGTAGCAGAGCTGTTTAAAACCCAAGCCCATCTCCTTCTCTGCTGCTGCTGCTGCTGCTGCTGCTGCTCTCCCCCAGCTAGAGGTAAGTGTCTCCTTATTACACTCATAAACTTAGGACGCTGACGCAGCAGCTGCGGCCGAAAGGATCTACGCTCTCCTTCTGTGCTGTAGTCTGCTCGAATCAAATAGCTGCTGTTGCTGCTGCTGCTGATGCTGCTGCTGCTGCTGCTGCTGTTGCTGCTGCTGCTGCTGTCGCCTAAGCGGAGTCGCTTGATAGGAGGGCCCTGGAGACTGGAGGCCTGTGGGGCGAGCGGCTGCTGCTGATACTGCTGCTGCTGCTGCTGCGGCTGCTGGAACTGGGTGTGCATCTGCTGCTGCTGCATCGGCCGCTGTCTTAACTGTTGGTGCTGCTGCTGCTGTTGTTGTTGCTGCTGCTGCTGCTGAGCGCTGCTGCTGCAGCTCGCCAGGGCCTCAGCACACACATCAGCAGCAACATGCCCAGCCATCTGCAGCTGCTGCACCACTTGAGCTCCTCGAGGCTTCTGCAGCAGCCGAACTATTAAGTCTACTTGCCTGCAGCAGCAGCAACAGCAAAAGCAGCAGCACAACAGCAGCAGCAGCAGAAGATGTTGTGTAGCCTGAGTGCCTGCTCATCTCCACATGGAGGGAAGCGAATCCGTCTCTGCAGCAGCAGCGGCAGAAGCAGCAGCAGCTGCTGCTGCTGCTGAATGTGTGCAACTCTCAATATCTGTTGCTGCTGCTGCTCTCGCTGTTTGCTGCTGTCTCTGCTGTCTGTACACCCCACACCCTCACCGCTCGCGGGGATATGCAGCCACCTTCGCCAGCGTCTCAGGATCAGGCAGCAACTGCAGCACACAAACAACTACCTGCTGCTGCTGCTGCTGCTGTGCTGCTGCTGCTGCTGCTGTTGCCATATGCGCGTGTGGTTCTCCTGCTGCTGCTGTGCTGATGTGCTGCTGTGCTGCTGCTGCTGCTGCCACTTCCAGCTTTGCTGCTGCTACTGTTTCTCATGTTGCTAGAAGCAATCTATTTGCTGCTGCTGCTGCTGCTGCTGCTATTGTTGCTGGTGCTGCTGCTGCTACAACTCACTGGAGGCGGCATCGCTGCAGCACTTCCCTGTGCGTCAGCAGCAGCAGGAAGCCTGGCGCGGTTTGCTGCTGCCAACGCCTGATCGTTCTGCTGCTGCATGCGTTGCTGCTGCTGCTGCTGCTGCTGCTGCTGCGGCTGCTGCGATGGCGTTGGCACTGAGAGTTGCCGCTCCTGTTGCTGCTGCTGCTGCTGTTGCTGTTGCTGCTGCAGCTGTTGAAGTTGTTGCTGCAGATGCGGCTGCGTGAACGGCTGCTGCTGCTGCGCCTTCCCGGGCTGTTGCTGCTGCTGCAGCAGCACCTGCTGCTGCTGCTGCTGCTGCTTGGCTAACTCATATGCACTCTTTAAGGCGTCTTGAACTCTAACAATTCCTCTCTCTTCTAACGACTGCAGCAAAGCAGCTAAAGAGCGGCCCCCTGTCTGCGGCAGCTCTACGCCCTGCACACAAACCCTAAACCCTAAACCCTAAACCTTAAGGATGCGTTGCATGGAGTTATTGAGGGTTCGTTAGCAAATGCTTGAGTGTTTGAAGTTGAGTCTATAAAACAAAGAAATATAAAACCAGCAGCAGAAAGGCAACACAGCAGCAGCAACAACAGAACCAGTAGTACAAGCAGCAGCAACAACAACAACAGCAGCAGCAGCAGCAAAAGCAACAATAATTCTCACTCTAAAGCGTGCCGGGTCCGCCTCCGCCATGCGCTGCAGCAGCATCAGCACATACTTCGGCTCTACGTTCCTCTGAACACCAGATCGAGCTTGCTGCTGCTGCTGCAGCTGCTGCTGTTGCTGCTGCTGCTGCTGCTGCAGTTGCTGGTGCTGCAGCTGCTGCTGTTGAAGCTGCTGCTGTTGCAGCGTCTGCTGTTGAAGCTGCTGCGGAGGCAGCTGCTGCGCCTGCAGCGCCTGTTGTTGCAGGTGCTGCAGTTGGGGCTGCTGCTGCAATTGCTGCTGCTGCTGCAGCTGCTGCTGCTGCAGCTGCTGCTGCTGGTGTGGGGTCTGCATGCGTTGCAGCTGAGCCGGGTGAGTCATTGTTTGCGCACCATCAGGTTTGATAGATAGCATATGAAGGGGCTGCTGTTGCAGCTCCTGCGGATGCATCTGCTGCTGCTGCAGCTGCTGCTGCTGCAGCAGTTGCTGTTGCTGCAGTTGCTCCTGCTGCAGCTGTTGCTGCATGCCCTGCTGCATCGTGCGGTCCCATCTGTAGCAAAGAACTGCTGCTTCTGTTCAGCTCCTCACGTTGCAGAAACAGCAGCAGCAACAGAATAAGCAGCAGCAGCAACAGCAGCAGTAGCAGAAGCAGCAGAGTGCTGCCCTAGTCCCCCAGTGTTAGCTACGCCTCATGAGGAGTGTTTGCCACTGCAGGCGAACAGCAGCAAACCCCAAAGGCTTTTGCAGCTTTCGCTGCTGGTGTGTTTGTGTTGCTGCTGCTGCTGCTGCTGTTGCTGCTGCTGCTTCCGCAGCAGCAGCAGCAGCCGCAGTAGCTGCGCGTTAGGGATAGAGGGCTGCTCGTCGTTGTTAGCTCTTTAGGAGTAACATAACAGCATTAATATTTGCAAAATGATAAAAAACAATGTTTAAATTTATAACGAAGAAGCTGCAGATACACCACAAACCGCAGCCGCCTCTCCGCTTGTTTGGGGCTGCAGCGGCCGTTGCTGGTGCAGTGTGGTGTATAGGCACTTAAAAATTAAATAAAAAGAAAAGAATTCTTATTAACACTAAATTAAACAAAATATTATTGCATTATAGTTCAAATCCTCGCTAATTCTCCGCGCCGTCTGTACTGCAGCAGCAGCAGCAGCAGCTGCTGCTGCTGCAGCAACTTGCATGCGTATGAGGTGTGCGTACACCCGAAAAGTTAATAGGAATATGCGGATTTGCTGCGGCATGTGGGGTTTCTACCGCAGCAGACGCCTCAGGCATTGTCTAGCTAACTCCATACGCCTCTAGCTGCTGCTAACGACCGCTATTATCTAGCTAGCTAGCTAGCACTAGCTAGCTATCGATAGAGGGCTAGCTAGCGAGCCCTCTATCTAGCAGTAGCGGTAGCAGTAGCAGTGGATAGGTGTAGCTATACCTAGCTACCTGGGGGTGATAGACGTCGCTATATATATATATATATATATATATATATATTTAGATTAGATTAGATAGAGTTATAGTATAATACAGGATATTGATTTTTCTGTTCTTTTGTTTCTTCATGTTTGCTGCTGCTGCTGCAGCAAAAAGAGACAAGAGACGCATACTTATACTGCAGGCAGCAGCAGGGCTGCAGGCTGTCTTTGCTGCTGTTCTTTGCTGCTGCTGCTGCTGTATGTATGTATTTGGCCTTGCTGCTTTCGCTATCGCTGCTGCTTTCAGCTGCTGCTACTGCAATTCCCGCTGCTGATGCTGCTGCTGGAGCTGCTGCTGGTGCTGCTGCTGCTGCAACGGCAGCAGCAGCAATGAGGCTCCAGCAGCAGCTAGCAGCGAGGGTGCTGCGCTGTATATACACCTTTCAAGAAGACAATAGGGCTGAGGTCAGCACAGAAGCGAAGCACGGAGGAAACAGCAAAGCAGCAACAGCAGCAGCAGCAGCAGCCGCAGCACGGAGAGAGGAGCAGCAGCAGCAGATGGAGACCATCAGCATCGCAGAGGAGGTCTCCTCATCTCCGGGCGAATACCCAAGCAGTACTGCTGCTGCTGTTGCTGTTGTTGCTGTTGCTGTTGCTGCTGCTGCTGCTGCTGCTCGGTTGCCCTCACTCGTCTCACTCTTGGAACTGTAGGCAGTACCTGCTGCTGCTGCTGCTGTTCCTTTTGCTGCTGCTGCTGCTGCTGCTGTTGCTGCATTCGCTGCTGCACCCGCAGGGTGTTGAGCTTGACCTCTTTGAGGAGAGTCTCCATTGCTGCAGATAGCTCTCTAAGCTCCAGCGGCAGCTGCTGCTGCTGCTGCTGCTGCTGCTGCTGCTGCTGATGCTCCTTCTGTTCAAGTTGGTGTTTCCCCTCCCTCTGCCGTTGCTGCTGCCTCTGAGCGGCATGCAGCAATAACGGCTGCTGCTGTTCCTGCTTCTGCTGTTGCTGCTCTTGCTGCTGGTGCTGCTGCTGCTGCTGCTGCTGTTGCTGCTCTTGCTGCTCTTGCTGCTGCTGCTGCTGCTGCTGCTGCTGCTGCTGTCGCACCTGCAAAGGAGGCCGTCGCGGCTCTGCCTTTTTGAGTGGGGGGCTGATGGCCTTTGGCGGAGGCACACTGCTGCTATTGCTGCTGCTGCAGCTGCTGCTGTTGCTAACGCTGCTGCTGCTGCTGCAGTATCTGTTCTCTATGTTGCTGCAAGCGCTGCTGCAGCGGCTACTCTCCGGCTGCTGAGAGACGCCCGAATGGAGGTCCTCCTTGGAGCCGCTGCTGCTGCTGCTATTGCTACTGTTTTTATCTTTGTTTCTGCTGCTGCTGCTTATGCTGCTGCTGCTGCTGCTGCTGCTGCTGCTGCTGTACAGCCAAGGCAGGGAAGCGTTGCATGTTGGCGCCTCGACGACTGCCCTGCGCTGCATCCTACAAGACGTCCCTTCTGTGTCTCTGTCTCCGTTTCTTCTGTCTCTATTTTCTTCTCTATCTGCGGAATCGAAAGCAAATGAGTTCACTAAGTGCCGCTGCTGCTGCTGCTGCTGCTGCTGTCGCTGCAGCGGCTGCGAGAGAGGAGGCAGGGGGGGCAGCAGAGAGTGTGGGGTGCTGCGGCCGCTGCTGCGGCCGCTGCTGCTGCCTCTGTCGCTGTTTTCTGTCTCCTCTTGGAAGTTGATATGGCCATGCTGCTTCTGCTGCTGCTTCTGCTGCTGTGGCTGCTGCTGCAGCAGCTGCTGCAGCAGCAAAGATGCCTCTTGGTGCTGCAGCTGCCAAGTGTGTGTAATGCCTCCTGAAGGCTGCACGTAGCAATCAAGAGAAGAGGAGCTTCTTAACAGATCTCTACCATCAACTACAGTTCCATTCTCGGTTCTATAGACAACTCTGCTGCTGCTGCTGCTGCCGCTGATGCTGCTGATGCTGCTGAAGCTGCTGCTGCTGCTGATGCTGCTGAAGCTTCTGCTGCTGCTGATGCTGCTGAAGCTGCTGATGCTGCTGATGGTGCGGTAGGGAGAAGGCGGGGCAGCTGCTGCATGCTCTGCTTCTTCTCTAACTGTCCGCACTTTTGTTAATCCTTCAGGCGGCTGGAAGCTGCAAAAGACAAAAAAAAATACAAATAATTTGCTGCTTATGTGAGGTGCCTATACACCCGAAGAGCAGCAGCAGAAAGAGATAAACGCAAGCAACAACTAAATACACACGCCACCAAACATAAGAACAAAAGGAGATATATTTAAACATATTTAATATAAATTAAATGAAGTATTTCTATGAAATATTATCATAGAATGCCTTCCGAAGAAAAATATTAAAATATGTCGACGTACACCGCAAACACAAACAACGCCAACACAACAAATACACAAACAGATACACAAATAAATACACAGATATAAATACAAATACTAATACAAATACATGCATGCATGCATGCATGCATGCATGTAGAGCAACGGGGCTGTTTGCATGTTTCCATGCATGCATGCAATCAAGCATGCAAACAGTCAATCATGCAGGCATGCAAACATTTAAACAGCCCCATGCATACATGCATGCATGCATGCATGCATGCATGCATGCATGCATATAAACAGCCCCATGCATGCATGCATGCAGGAGGAGAGGAGGAGGTTTACGGTTGAACGACGTCTGGGGGTATTTGGGGTCCATCGTGAAGGAGGAAGGTGGACAACTTGCACCGCAGATTTCCTTCGCCTGAATAAAACAAACTCAAGCTCTTCTTCTCATTTAATAATAGATAGCTATGAGCTAGCTATTTGTTATATCTAATAGCTAGCTAGCAGCTAGCTAAGATATTGATCAGAGCTAGCTATCTAGCTATCTAGCTAGATAGCTAACTGGCTAACTAGCCAACAACAGGATAATTAATTTGTGACAGTTTAGGAGCTAACTAGTTACCTACATAGCTAGCTAGCTAGCTACCTACCTACCTACTTACCTACATAGATAGCTAGCTAGCTATCGAAGGACAAAGATAAGGGAAAGAAAGAAGAAATCGGAGGGATATTGCAGCAGCAGCAACAACAGCAGCAGTAGCAACAACAGCAGCAGCAGCAACAACAGCAGCAGCAACAACAACAGCAGTAGCAGCAACAACAGCAGCATCAACAACAGCAGCAGCAGCAGCAACAACAGCAGCAGCAGCAACAACAGCAGCAGCAGCAGCAACAACAGCAGCAGCAGCAACAACAGCAGCAGCAGCAGCAGCAAGGAGTTGCGTGATTAGGGTGTACGTACAGCGGTTGGCGAAAGTAGAAGAGACAGATACAGGGTAAGACGCCCAGTCAAGAGTCTGCAGCAACAAACAAAATAAAAAAAAACGATAAACCCATGTAAATAAGTATAAATAAACAAATATAAACAAACAATAGATTAGAGCAATAAACAAATATAAGTAAATATACTTGAAAGCAACAAACAAGCATAAACAAACAGCTGCAAACGAAGACAAACAAACAGCAATAAACAAATATAAATAAAAAACAATAAACAAATACAAACAAAGCTGCATGCATGCAAGCGAAGAAAGGAATCCGATAGTATTTGGTGTAAATGTTTAATAATGAAGAGTAAACTAAACAAAATAACAAAAATAAAACAAACATAAAATATAAATTAAACATAAATTAAGCAAACCATCAACAGCAACAAAAACAAAAAAAGAAGAAGAGTATAAAGAGTAAAGGAGACAGAGACAGACAACTATAACAGTTTCTGTTTGTATACAATAAAATAATGCATATATATATATGTATATGTATATATATATATGCTTGTCTTTACCTCTTTATTTATTTATCTGTATATATCTTTATTGATTAATAGATATTAATTAATGTATTTAATATCTTTAGATAATATTGAGGTGTACGTACACCTGGCTGCTTTAAGTTTGCTAGGGGTATTATTATACAGCCAAAGTCGCGCAGTTTCCACGTCCTCTTTTTTCCGTTTTGCACTGTCTCTTCTACTTCTTGTGTTATTATTAATGTCACACGGAGAGCAGCAGCTTCTTGGTTCAGAGGAAGTATAAACTGCAGCAGCAGCAGCAGCAGCAGCAACAGCAACAGCAACAGCAGTGGGAGCAGCAGCAGAAGCGGCAGCAGCAGCAGCAATAGAAGCAGCACAACAAATGAAAAAGAAACGGTAGAGTGGTGATAGGAGTAGAAGCAGCAGCAGCAATAAAAACAGCAATAGCAGCAGCAGCAGCAAGAGCAACAGCAACAGCAGCAATAGAGACTTAACAAAGGAGAGACAAAGACAGTGAAGGAGAAGAAGGAGACAGAAAAGACAAACAAAAACACAAAAAGAAAGAAGAGACAAATAACAAAATATAAAAACAAAGAACGAACAAACAAAACAAATTTAGAGACAGCTGACGTACAGCAGCAAACGAGGTAAATAAATAAAATAAGAAGAGACAGAGAGAGAGAGAGAGAGAGACAGAGAGAAATAGATAGACAGATATATAGATAAGCAGATATATAGATAAACAGATATATAGATAGAGAGAGACAAATAAAGAGAAGGAGAAAGAGAGTGAAAGAGCAAGTGATACACAAGAAAACAAACAAACAAAGAGGAAAGGAAGCAGAAACAGAAATAAACAAACAAAATAAATAAATAAACAAATAAATAAATAAACAAAACAAACAAATAAATAAATAAATAAATAAATAAATATACGCATAATGGATAGAAAATATATCTAGCGACAAAAGAAAAAAACATATATATATATATATATATATATGTACATGTATATATACCCCTAACCCTAAACCCTAAACCCTAAACCCTTGCATGCATAGACAGCGCACTTTGTGATTGAGGGGAATATCGACTTGGCCTTTGCTGATCGTAAGAGCCTGAGGCTCTGAACGATTTCGAATGTGGTTAAGCAGCTGCACACCACAAACCCTAAACCCTAAACCCTAAACCCTAAACCCTAAACCCTAAACCCTCAGCACTAAACCCTCAAGTCGTACACGCACAGCGTTATAGAGATTGCCTTGGTCGCTGGGGGTGTGTGCGAAGAGTTGCTCTGACTACGTGCAAACTCACTGTACGTGCAAACCCTGAACCCTAAACACTAAACACTAAACCCTAAACCCTAAACCCTAAACCCTCACGTCTCCGAGATTGTCACTGAGGAATCCGCAGAGCAAAAACACCTGCGCTTTGTTTCCTTCCAGTTCCACTCTCCCTCTGCAGCACAAACCAGCGCATGCAAACCCTAAACCCTAAACCCTAAACCCTAAACCCTTATCGGCAGCATCAGGGGAAGCAGCAATGCCAGCAGGTGTCGCAGCTGCAGCAGCAGCAGCAGCAGCAGCAGTAAGCTCAGGCGTAGCAGGAAGAGAGGAAGGTGCAGCAGCAGCAGCAGCAGAGAACCACATCAGCATAGGCAGAAACAGCGAACACCCGGTTAACAGCAGCAGCAGCAGCAGCAACAGCAGCAGCAGCAGCAGCAATAGCAACAGAAGCAACAGCAACAGCAGCAACAGCACCAGCAGCAACAGCAGCAATAACAGCAGCAGCAGCAGCAGGTGAGGTTGCCTACGAAAATCCAGAGACATCGACTTCAATCTTCTCAGATAGAGAAGGGTCTTGTGCTGCTGCTGCTGTTGCTGCTTTTTGCTGCTGCTGCGCTATCTTCGAGCGTAGCCGCTGCACCGACTGCTGCCGTTGCTGCAGCTGTTGGGTAGCAGCAGCAACAGCAGCTTGCTGCTGCTGTTCTTTACTTAATGTCTTCTGGAGCTGATGAGCAACGTCTGCTGCGCCTTTGCTGCTTCGCTTCTTAATGTAGCCGTTGCTGCTGCTGCTGCTGCTGCTGCTGCTGCTTGGTTTTGCTGATTCGCTCCTTACGCTGCTGTCTAACTTTCTCAAACTTTCTGTTTGTCTCTTGACTCCGTTTGTCTCCTTTCTATGAGGTGCTGCTGCCTGCGGGGAGGTTCTTCCTGCTGCTGCTGCTGCTGCTGCTGGTGCTGCTGCAGCAACCCTTGGAGTCGTCTCCGGGGGTGTAATTGACGGTGCTTCTTGTGGAGGTGCTGCATCAGCAGCAGCTAATATGCTGCTGCTTGTGCTGTGATTGCTGCTGCGGTTGCTGCTTTTGCTGCTGCTGCTGCTGCTGTTTTGCTGCGGTGTGCTATGCTGCTCTGTATGTGCAGTTGACTCTGATGCGTCTGCCCAGGTGATTCCTCTTTGATGCTGCTGCTGCTGCTGCTGCTGCTGTATGTCTTCTTTGTGCGCTGCTTTTCGCTGCAGCTTGCCGTTGCTGCTTGTGGTGGGGCGTTTGCTGCTGCGTTTGCTTCTGCTGCTGCTGCTGCTGCCGGGGCGTTGAGTGCTGAGTTTGCTGCTGGTGCTGCGAGGGGTTATTGCTGCTCTTGGGGAGTCTATCAGCAATTCATATTCAGGAGGAGGCTGCATGCAGCTACACAGCAGCAAATGCAGCAGCGGCAGCTGATCTCCAGCAGCAAGGCGTTTATAGTGGCCGGAAGGCAGCCGCCTTATCCTAGGTGATTCGAGAAGCCGAAGGGATCTCTTCATTGTTTGCTGCTGTTTTAATTTCCTTTCTATAAACCCTAATAAACCCTAATAAACCCTAATAAACCCTAAACCACAGCATATACCGCACACACATACTTAAACCCCTACACACCCTTACAAACAGACAAGCAGCAGCATATACTTCTTCAATTCGCTTTAAAACGCACACCTATATCATCTGTTTAGGGTTTAGGGTTTAGGGTTTAGGGTTTAGGGTTATCGAGGGTTTAGGGTATAAACGTCGTAACGCCTACTGGCATTGCATCCGGCCTTGCATTTAGAGCTATCAAGGGTTTAGGGTTTAGGGTTTAGGGTTTAGCTTTGTCATAAGTTTAGGGTTTACTGTTTAGGGTTTAGGTTTGAGGATTTAGGGTTTAGGGTTTAGGGTTTAGGGTTTAGGGTTTGCGTACAGGATCGAGTCTCAAGGACCACCGGCTGCCTCTGAGACTGCACCGCTGCGACTGGGTGGTTGTGCTGTATAAGAGAGAAATAGAATAAAATGAGTAAAATATAATAATTATTTTAAGCAAAAAAACAAAAGAAAACAAACAAAGCAAGAAAAACTAACGCATCAACCCTCGGCCTATGTAGGCAAGCCAGCTCAAGCTGCAGCTGGGCGGCTCAACAGGAGTAAAAGGAGAAGAAATATGATTAATAAGAGTTAAAATGCTTAAATATAAATATAAATATTGACAAAATACAAACAAGCAAAACCCTTCTCAATGCATGCGTTCATGCTGCGGTGTATCGGCACCTCTAAACCGCAGCATCGACAGCGGCAATGTTGCGGCCTCTTCGGTTGTATAAATTATTAAATATAATAAAGTATGTTTTATATTTTTAATTTTTAATGTTTTATTTATTTTTTTCAGCTTTTATTTACCCAATATGCCTCTGATCAGCACACAACTTCACCCTCTTCTTTAAGTGTCTTCTTAGATTATATACCTCTTCTGAGCCTTTAGAAAAACAAAAATAAAGGAGAGGAATTTGAGGCGTATATACACCTCATATGTATGCTGTTTATACACCTCAAACCACTGCACATACACCTCAAACCCCTGCTATACATACGCCTCAAACCATTAGAAGATATACTCTGTAACACACAGCTGTATATACACCTCAACCTTGTATTGTACATACACCGCAACGCTCTGCTGTACATACACCTCAACCTGCTGAAGCATGTACACCTCAACCCTTTGCTGTATACACACCTCAGCTGTACATACACCTTAGCCTTTAATTGTGCATACACTTCAACCCTCTGCTGTACATACACCTGAACCTTCTACTGTACACACAGCTCAACCCACTGCTGCATATACAGCTGAGCCGTACATACACCTCAACCCTTTGGTCTATATACACCTCAATCCTCTGCTGTATATACACCTGAGCTGCATATACACCTCAACCTTCCGGTGCTCAACCCTCTGCTGAACATGCACCTGAGCTGACTATCTGAGAAATGCAGTAAAATTTTTTTCGACTCCACAGCAGACAAACAAACGATGCAATAAAACTCACAACAGACACAGACTGATACATAACATTATATATATATATGCATATACAGATATATAGTTATACAGACCTAGGCATAGATATAGATATAGACATAGATACAGATATATACATATATATATGTTTAATATATTTTATTCATATAAATTATTATTTATATATTTGTTTGTAAAATAATATAAATATGTTTTCTATAGGATGTCAGTAGACATCGTGTGCATGCGCACCAGAGACATAATAATATATAAAAATATAATGTTTATAATATATAAATATATAATATTTATAATATATAAATATTTAATATTTATATTATATTTATGCGTTTTGTTTGTCTTCCAGGCGTGTCTCTGTCCCTTCGTTTGCTTCTTTTTTCTTTGTCTTTCTTTTATATCTCTTTTTTGTTTGTCTCTCTTTTTATTTAATTTGTCTCTGTTTGTCTCTTCTTTATTTCTTTGGTCTTTGCTTGTCTCTTTATTTTATTTTATTTGTCTTTGTTTGTCTCTTCTTTATTTTATTTGTCTTTGTCTCTTCTTTATTTTATTTGTCTTTGTTTGTCTCTCTAGTTTATTTTATTTGTTTATTTTTTTTTGACTGTCTCCTTTGTCAATTTGTCTGTCTCTGCTATTTTGTATTATTTATAAACTAATAAATATTATTACACAGACATTTATTATTATTATTATTATTATTCTCTGTTTGTCTCTCTATAAAATATATATTAAGATAAAACAAACAAAGACAGGACAACAAAACAAAATATTGACAAGAGAAAATGTCACTGCAGCTAAGAGCTGCCTGTACACCCCAAATATATATATGCAAACAAACCAAATGCTCTTGCTGCTGCTGCTGGTTTTCCTGCTGCTGCTGCTGTTGCTGCTGCTCCCACAAGCCTAAGCAAACAAAGCTCAGGAAAAATAAATGCAGCAGCAACGCGCGCAAAACAAAACAACGCAGCAACAGCAGCAGAAGCAGCAGTAGCAGCAGCAACAGCAGCACAAGGCCTGGGCTGATCAGCAGCAACACACTAGTGCTGCTGCTGCTGCCTCTTTGAAATCATTCAGCTGCTGCTAAAAAAGGGGCCGCAGCTGCTGCGGCCCGTGCTGCTGCAGCAGGAGCACTACATACTGCTGCTGCTGGTTGCTGCTGCTGGTGCTGCTGCTGCTGCTGAACAAAGGCTTCAAGTGTATACAACTTTAAATATCGGAAGTACTCTCTCTGTCCTGTAACGCAGCAGCAGAGTCAACACCACAACACTGCAGCAGGTGCAACAGAGCAACGCAGCAGCAGCAGCAGCAGCAGCAGAAGCAGCAGCAGCAAAAACTCACGCAGCAACGGCGAGGAGTCCCTGACGCTGCAGCAGCACCGAATTATGACCGCCAAAGAAAGATGCAGGGAGCAGCATCAAAGGAGAGACGAGCTTGGGGCTGTTTGCTGCTGCTGCTGCTGCTGTTGCTGCTGCTGGGGTCCCTTCATTTGCTGCTGGCCTGCCGCAGACCAGCATGCGGGGCTGCACCTCCTAAAAACAGCAGCAGCAGCAGCAACAATAACACCAGGAGCGCAGCTTTTCGATACGCCTAAGGGGAAGCTAAAACAAAACAGCAAGACAGCAGCAGCAGCAGCAAAAGCAGCAGCAGCAGCAGAGGCAGCAGCAGCAGCAGCAGGAACGCGCACCTGCAGCAACAAATCCATTTCAACACGACACAACCCTGGAGCGACAGCACAGAGCAAAGCAGCAGAAACTTGCTGCTGTTGCTGCTGCTGCTGCTGCAGCAGCAGCTTCTGGGGCCCACTGTAAAGAGAATCGTTCCTTCGAGACGCAGCTTCTGCTGCTGCTGTTGCTGCTGCTGCAGTTGCTGCTGCGGGTGCAGCAGCCCCCATGACGGCCTCTGCCTGCAGCACAGAAACAGCAGCAAAAGGCTTGTGTTGCTTCAGAGGTGCCTATACACCCCACTTGCTGCTGCCATTCTCCTTGAAGGGCAGCAGCAAAATAATAAATGCAGCAGCAGCGGCAGAGTTTCACCAGCAGCAAAACTATATATATATATATATATATATGCATATATATAAATATATATAATATATAAATATATATATCTGTATGTACATGAATATATATGTCTACAGATGCATCAACACCTATGTAAATAAATAAACAAAAATATATAAATATATATATATATATATATTTATATTTGTCTATAATGATGCAAACAATTATACATATGGCAGCACAAGAAAGACAGAAAAGAGACAAAAAGTTTGATGTCGACGTACAGCCGAGACAGATACACCCAACACCACCGCAGCCACAAGTTGCTGCTGCTGCTGCTGCTGCTGCATTGAAGAGGAGAGCGCTGCCGCCTGCGCAGCAGCCTGTTGCAGGCCCCCAGGTGCTGCTGCAGCGAGCAGCAACTGAGGGTCGGCGCATGCAAAAAAGAAGAGAGCAGCAGGAGGAATCGCATCACTGCTGCTGCTGCTGCTGCTGCTGCTGTTGCTGCTGCTGCTGGGAATAAAGAGGTGACAGAAGTTCTCAGCCTCCGCTCCTGCAGCGAGGGGCTCGATGCTCTGCAGCGTACGCCCTGGCATTGCTGCTGCAGCAGCAGCTGCTGCTGCTGCAACGGGAAGAACTGGCGCAGCAGCAGCAGAAGCACCAGCAGCAGCAGAAGCAGCAGCAACTGGCGCCTCCTCAGCAGCAAGGGTCAACCCTGCAATGGAGTGCTGACCGTACATCGTCATTTGTTGCTGTTGTTGCTGCTGCTGCTGCTGTTGCTGCTGCTGCTGCTGTGGAGCCAACTGACTTTCAAAGCAGCCACAGCCCAGCGAGAACGTGTCCTGTGCAGCAGCGGGAGGCAACACGGAAGGCGCTGCTGCTGCTGCTGCTGCTGCTGCTGCTGCTGCTTCTGCCGAGATGTCTGTGGCCCCAGGTAATGAAGTGGGAAGCTGCTGTTGCAGCATCAGCAGCTGTTGCTGCTGCTGCTGCTGAAGATGCGCACCGGCATATTGCTGCAGCGGGCCTTGCAGCCCCAACGCCTTCGGTGGCTGCTGCAGCAGCAGCTGCTGTTGCTGCTGTTGTTGCTGCAGATGAGGGCGTTGCTGCTGGAGGAGCAGCTGTTGCTGCTGCAGCAACTGCTGCCGCTGCAGCAGCAGCTGCTGCTGAGCAGGCCAGCCAAACGAAAGAGTGGCTTTTGCTGCTGCACTGAGCTGCTGCCCCTCATCTACAGGCAAAGACACTGCAGCCGCAGCAGCAGCAGCAGCAGAAACATCATGCCGTGATGCTTCTGCTGCTGCTGCGGAGTTGCTGCAAATGTTGCAGTGCAGCATCTCTGGAGCGAAGTGCTGCTGCTGGCAGCAACACCGCCGCAGACTGCTGCTTCTGTTGCTGCTGCTGCTGCAGCACGGAAGGCGCTGCATGCAAATGCTGCTGCAGGTGTCTCCCCCGTGCTGCAATGCTGCTGCTGGCGCTGCTGCTGGCGCTGCTGCTGTTGCTGCTGCGGCAGTTTGCACAGTGCAGCTGCGCTGTCGGAGGCCAGAGAAGGATTGGTGCTGCTGCAGCTGCTGCTGCAGCTGCCGTTGATGTAGCTGCTGCTGTATTCTTAGTGGCTTCATGAGTTGTGTAGGAGCCTCAGCAGCAGCAGCTGCTGCTGGGGAGCGTCCTCGCCACTGCTGCAGCCCGATATGAGGGCGTGCAGCAGCAGCAGCAGCAGCAGCAGGACCTGACGGCCAGCGCTGAGCAGCGGCCGGAGGCACCGCCAGTTTGCTGCTGTTGCAGCAGCTGCATGCACATCTAGGAGAACGAGCTCGCTGCTTCTGTTGCTGCTGTTGCTGTAGCAACTGCTGCTGCTGCTGCTGCTGCTGCTGCTGCTGTTGCTGCAGTGGATACCCCCTCTCTTGGCTGAGTGTAACACCCCACGGCTCAGGCTCAGCCCAACCACGTGGCGTTGCTGCTGCTGTTGCTGCTGCAGCTCTTGCAGCAGGTGCTGTTGCTGCTGCTGCTAGCTGCTCTGTGCGCAGCCGCATCTTCAGGCATTGCCCACTCCCTCGCGCTGCAGCTGCTGCCCTGCTGCTGCATACATCATCATCAGCAGCAGCAGCAGCAGCAAAAGCTTTAAGTGCTGCTGCTCTTTTCCTGCTGCTGCAAGAGGCAGCAGAAGAAGGAGACAGCGAACTGCCTGGGCTCAGCGTCAATGAAGAAGGAGACAGCAGCGCAGCACCAAGAGAGGAGAATGCTGTTGCTTCCCCTGTTGCTGCTGCTGCTGCAGCAGCTGCTGCTGCCGCTGCTGCTGCTTCCGCCTCGGCAGCAGCCTTCTCCGCCTCAGCTAATGCTGCTGCTTCTTCTGCTGCAGCTGTAGCTGCAGCGACGTCCGCAGCAGCAGCAGCGGCGGCAACTGCTGCTGCTGCTGACGAAGGCCGCAGCACACTCCTAAGAGCTCTGCTGCAGCTGCCTCCCTCTGAGGCCCGTCGCGCTGCAGCAGCAGCAGCAGCAGCAGCATGTTCAGCAGACCTTGGGCGCTGCAGCTGATGGCGACGCCGCTGCGCCATCAAACTGCGCTCTGCATTGCTGCTGCTGCTGCTGCTGTTGCTGTTGCTGCTGGTGCTGCTGTACTGAATGCCCCGCCAATGGGTGCTGCTGCTCCGGCGTGTGCCTGGTCTGCTGCTTCCCCTAGGAGCTGTCGGCAAAGGCTGCAGCAGCACGTGCTGCTGCTGCCTCCTTTGCTGCTTCGGGAGCTGCTGCTGCTGCTGCTGCATCTGCTGTTGTTGCTGCTGCCGTTGCTGCCTCCTTCCCAAGCGTGAGCGCTCTGCACACCTCGCCAGCCAGCAGTCCTGCAGCGTCGGCAGCTGCTTCGTTTCGCCTTGAGTCTGCTGTTGCTGCTGCTGCTGTTGCTGCTGCTGCTGTTGCTGCTGCTGCTGTTGCTGCTGCTGCTGCACCACGTTAATCAGCCCGAAGGTTTTTGCATCAAACACCAACACCAAACGCTCTGGCTTTGCTGCTGCTTGGCCTCTGCTCATCCCCACATGCTGCGGCTTTTGCTGCTCCTGCAGCTGCTTCTGCTGCTGCTTCTGCTGCTGCTGCAGCTGCAGCTGCTGCTTCTCACTCATCTGCGTAGTGGATTGAGCTGCAGAAAAAGGAGCCGCTGCTGCAGCAGCTGCTGCAGCGGTGCCTCTTAAAGGGTGCTGCCTCTGTAGCGTTTGCTGCTGCTGGAGTGTCTGGTGCTGCCGCTGCTGCTGCTGCTGCTTCTGCTGCTGCTGCTTCTGCTGCTGCTGCTGCTGGAGCGACGACATCTGCACCGCGTTGCTGAGAGCACCCCAAAAGGCAGCAGCAATATTCAACGCCAAGTCAAACGGAAGCAGCGGCTCTCCTGCGCATGCACAGCAAAGAACACAACAAGGATATGCAGCTGAGACGTGCTGCTGCTGCAGCTGCAGCTGCTGCTGCTGCAGTTGCTGCTGCTGCTGCTACTGCTGCTGCTGTTGCAGTGACTGCTGATGCAGCTACTGCAGCGATTGCTGCTGCTGCTAATTGGGGCTTGCTGCTTACCTATCTCTGCTTCTTCATCAGGGGGTGCTGCCGCTGCTGCAGTTGCTGCTGCTGCTGTTGCTGCTGCTGCGTACGTCTTGTGGACACGAGAAACGGCAGCAGCAAGAGCGGCAACTTGCTGCTCCAGCTCCCACTCCTGCTGCTGCTGCTCCTGCAGTTGCTGCTGCTGCAGTTGTTGCTTCTGCAGTTGCTGCTTCTGCATCTGCACGATGCATTCCGACGATTTAGAAAAGGTCTGCAGCAAAATGCGCAGCGGCAGCAGCTCGTCTCCCTGCTGCTGTTGCTGCTGCTGCTGCTGCTGTCGCCAATGCTTCCTTGACCGCTGCCGCTGCTGTTGCTGCTGCTGCTGCTTATCGTGCGCAGCAGACTGCAGCAGCAAAAGACGGATCCGAGGCAGCAGATCGTTTGTGGGGCCAGAAGCACCAGCACAAGAGCTTTGCTGGTGCTGCTGTTGCTGCTGCTGCTGCTGCTGCTGCTGCTGCAGCGTAGAGGAAGCAGCAGCTGCTTCCCCTAAAGACGGAAACCCCTCTGCAGTGTCGCAGCCGCTGCTGCAGGTTGTAGTACATCGAGTTGTTATTGAAGCAGCAACAGAAAGCTTGCTGCTGCTGTTGCTGTTGCTGTTGCTGCTGCTGCTGATGCTGTTCTGTACCGCTGCACCCTGCGGAATGTCATGCTGTCTTTCATGTTCTCGCTGCTGCTGCTGCTGCTGCAGCTGCTGCTGTACTGCTGCAGTCTCGCCTTCCTTACTTCGAAGCGGTGTGGAGCTGGCCGCTAGCCAATCTGCCGGCGCTGCTGCTGCTGTTGCTGCTGCTGCTGCAGTTGCTGCCGCTGCTGGTGCTGCTGCTGCTGCTGCGGCGGCGGGCTCCGTTGCTGCTGGAGTTGCTGCTGCTGCTAGGGGGGCTGCTGCTGCCTCAGTCCCTGCAGCAGCTTTTTCTGCAGCAGTCTTCCCTACTCCTCGTTCTTCTGTTGTTATCTTCGGTGCTGCTACCTCTGCTGCTGCTGCTGTTGCTGCTGCTGCTGTTGCTGCTGCTGTTGTTGCTGTTGCTGCTGGCGCCAATGCTTCCTTCGCACTGGTCGTCTGTGCTGCTGTTGCGCAGCTTCGAGTGGCTTCATGCTTTGCTGCACTTCTTGCTGCTGATTCATCTGCTGCTGCAGCCGTTGCTGCTGTTGCTGCTCCAGCAGCTGCGTCCTGTCTGCCTGAAGACGCAGCAGCTACAGCAGCAGCAGCAGCTGCAGTTGCTGCCTCTGCCGCTGTCGCATCAGCCGCTGCAGCGTCCGCCGTTGCTGCTGAATCTGCTGCTGCATCGCCTTCTGCTACAGCTGCTGCTGCCGCTGTTGCTACAACTGCTGCTGCAGATTCTGCAGCAACAGCAGCTGCCGCTGCAGCCTCTGCTGCTGCAGCTTCTGCCGCTGCAGCTTCTGCTGCTGCAGCTTCTGCCGCTGCAGTTTCTGCTGCTGCAGCTTCTGCTGCTGCAACTCCCGCTGCTGCAACTTCTGCTGCTGCAGCTTCTGCTGCTGCAGCTGCTGCTGTTGCAGCTTCTGCCGCCGCTGCGTCAGCTGCTGCAGCCTCTGCTGCTGCAGCTTCTGCTGCCGCTGCGTCAGCTGCTGCAGCCTCTGCTACTGCAGCCTCTGCTGCTGCAGCTTCTGCTGCTGCAGCTTCTGCCGCTGCAGCTTCTGCTGCTGCAGCTTCTGCTGCTGCAACTTCTGCCGCTGCAGCTTCTGCTGCTGCAGCTTCTACTGCTGCAACTTCTGCCGCTGCAGCTTCTGCTGCTGCAGCTTCTGCTGCTGCTGCCTCCGCTGCTGCAGCTTCTGCTGCTGCTGCCTCCGCTG